CCTTCCTTCCTTCCTTCCTTCCTTCCTTCCTTCCTTCCGTTAACCACCAAAAAGAAAAAAAAGTCACCTTGTTTAGGAATAAAATGTTGTATAGAATCAGGCGAGTTATACATGAACAAACTCGAGTTTGGTGTATGTAAATGCTACTGGTGTGGATGAGAAAAACATTCATGTTGAGAAAACGGCCTTAAAAGGTATGGTAATTGAAATCTACATACAAAAATAGATATGGTGCAATAAAATAGACTGTATTTTGGATGTTTTCTTTCAACTTATCTGAAACAACACATTATGAAAAACCAAATAGCCCAAAATGGTGTATGGAAAAATCAACAATGATTTTGCACTTAGCGTCTTGCCTTAAACTCAAGTGTCCTATTATCAAGCTGAAGAAACTGCATGCTTCATAAGTGATGACCCATTTCATGTGTACTTTTTGAACTATTTGTGCATTCATCTGAAGCTATGCAATGACCCAAATCCCTGCAGTTCAATTTTGATGAATAATGTGTACTCAGCTATTTGCAAGGCTGTAGCAATAGCTCGCTGCGACTTGCCAATAGCATTTGTGGAAAGAATGCTAAACAAAGCATTACAACTCTGGGTATCATAATGCATGAATAATATATCAATTTCAACACAAATTGTATAAATAATCCTCATTCGCATGTATATAAAGCCACCATAAACACATATGTGGAGGCAATATATACTGGCCGCACATTTGCATTTTAGATTCATTATCCTACTCATTAAATTCAGTGGTGTATCTAACAAGTATGCAGCACAGATGATTCATGGTATGCAATAGCAAACTGCCCAAATAGGAAACTCATCCTCTGTGAAATGAGAGATAGGTGCGGCCTGAGGGAAAATCTTCAGCCGACCAATTGCAATGCAACTGTTATGTTGGCTGGCAAGACAGAGGTGCCATTCCAAACTCTGATTGGCATGATCCAGGAGCAGATGGTGGAGGGACGGCATCCAAAACTGGCACCCAGAACACAACATGGCTCTTCAACAAAAACAGCAAAGTTGTTAAAGTGCAAGACAAAAGAAAGGCTTTACGGAGAACTGGAAAACTCTACAACTCAGACTCATGCTGGGCTGCTTCTTTGTTAGACATTGGCAGAATTGCAATTGATTACAGAATGTTTTTTATATTATACAAAAAAAATTATGATATTAAAAACAATGATAAGAAATTAATTTTGACATATTTGTGTGAATTTATTTGATGAGAAAATTAGAGGCAGTATTATCTTATGAAGTGGTGTCGGGTTTTCCCGTTTAAGTTTTTTCGACTGTGATGAGATCAGCAAAAAGTATTGCGTTTAACTTTCACACGCTATAATAAGGGCCACACATCGAGGCAGCGCATGCCTCAGACAAAACCTCAATGGCACTGGGAAAACCAAATGTTGTTTCTCTGTTTTTAATCGCTACTTCAGTTGATTTGTCTCTTTGTTTTGCCATTCTATCCACTAAATCATGCTCCAGACGTATTTACTTGTTAAACATACTGTTAAATCTGGGATTTGCTTCATCATGTTTGCACTTTTGTAGTGGGAATGGGATTGAATTTACAAATGCTTCATCTGTAGAAACATATATCCCTTTAGACTGTCTGGGCTTTAACTCAGGTTTGATGTAGAGTTGAAACTTCATACTCAAGACAGAGAGTCGGTGAGACAATGGCTTTAAATGATGTGTTTTTATCCTGCCAAATTATTTGACAGCTTCTGGGGAAGAAAAAAGAAACACTGAATGAAATGACTGAGTAGAGCCCAACGCTGTAAGAAACAAAATGAAAAGTGTATCCTCAATTGACAGGAAAGGGCTTCCCATACTGCCATTAAATATGATTGTATTGTAGCCTATTTGTATTTTGCATAGTTTTTCTCTGTAGCTGCAGGGATATATACTAATATACAAACATCTGCTTTCTCTGTTTTTGTAAAAGTGAAGAATGTTGTTCTTCCTCTCAATGTATTTAAGTCGCATTGGAACGTTAAATCAATACTCAGACTTGATTGCGGTGACAGATAGTTTTCCAAAAAAGATCCAAAAGTGCAGCTAAGGAACCAAAAAAATGCCTGTACTATAAAAGCGTTTACATTAGTCCGACAGCTTATATCATATCCAGTGTGGAAAAGGGGCCAGTGGGGGAAAAAAATAATGAAATACAAGTTAACAACAGGAGAAAGTAATATAATTGTCAGCAATTGAAATCACAGTTCTTGTATATACATATTCCACTTTCTAATCTAATTTTATTCCTTTTAAAGTATTAAATTGCTCTGAAAAATAAATGTAATAAAATCATTTTTCACCACAAGTACGGGCAGGCAAGGATTCAATATTTCTGAGCCAGATTGGAAGAGCTAGGGAAAAAACAGATTTAATATTATAGTTTTATTTCATTTTTATTTTTTTGCTTGTAAAAACATTCAGACATTAAGCATCCATTGATCATGATGTTAAATTGGATTAAACTTTTGGGCCCAGTTTGTCAATAAAGACATTACATTGTTACAAACAAAAGCAGTATATGCTGTCATCTACTATATTGCCATGAAGAGTCTCTATTTCTTTCAAGCAAATATTATTTTCCTACATATTCATGTTTTACAGGGCATGCTTAATTATTTGCAGTGTAAGGTATGGCTTTTTATTTAAAGCTGACTATTACTATTTTAAAAACAGCGAGACTAAGCAACAGTAGAGCTGTTCTGCAAACTTCTCATTTCCCAAACAATTTATTCAATTTTTTTTTTTAAATTTTGTTGTTTTGAAGTTATTTTATTATTTAATTACATTCCTGTTATTTTACTGAAGAACAGTACAATTTAAAATTGACTAAAATTAACTTATTAGTATTAAAATAAAACTTGCATTAATAAAAAAAATGATAATATTAATTAATAATAAATATTATACCTAAATGCAAACATTTTGGTTTTAAATGAATTTATTAACATCCAATATCAAGAAACATATTTCAACAATTATGTCCCCATATTCAAATTGAGAAATCTCCCCAGTCTGGTCACCTCCTGTTAGCGTTTTCATTGAAACACAAGTGATGTTTACTTCCTTTCTAAGTGTCTCTTGAAAGATGTTCCTGTCGGTTGTATATATGATGCCTGTCCCAGGCTCGATCAGCCTCTACAGGCCGGCTCTCCACCCAACAGCTGTTTTAAAGGCCTGATATACAGTAACAGCACGTATACGTAGAGTTTTTGTACGGGAAAAAATAATGAATACAAACAGTGAATGTTTGAAAGATATTTGCTGAGAGTGCAGTATTGTAATCATAAAAATAATCCGGGAATTAAATGTAAAAAAGAAATGGAATTTACAGGATTAAAGAGTATATTTACAATAAATGACTGGTCAGAAATTTACTGTGAAGTAAATGCATGCTGGGTCATTTTCTTACAAATGACTGTGAATCAGCAGCAGAATGATGTTGACTTGACATCACAGTAATTTACTGTAATTTCACATTATAATGTTCTCTTCAACCATGACAGTGTAATAAATGTATTCTTTTCTTTACAAACCATTAACCACCATTACAACAACAACAACACCAAAAAGACCAACCCGATCTCACGACCAAGTCGTACGAATTCGACGAATGATTAAAAAGTGGCTAATTCGTAACAATTCATACGACCTCACTCGTACGAATTAATACGATTTTGCTAAATCGTACATATTTTACGAATTGGCCAATTCGTATGAATTCGTACGAATGACCTACCCCTGACCCCGCCCCTAAACCTAACCATCACGTGGGTTTAGACAAATCGTACGAATTAGTACGAGTGAGGTCGTACGAATTAGTACGAATTAGCCACTTTTTAATCATGCGTCGAATTCGTACGAATTGGTCGTGAGATAGTGTTGAAAAGACTGCTAAAGGTGAAGCAAAAATAAGTTTAAATCAACAAGAATCAATAAACCACACTGCATGCTGGGTACCTTCATATTACACTGTAATGCAGTATAATGTTGTTTGTTTACAGTAAATTGTGTTTTCCAAAGTAACCCTATAAAACAACATTTTTAGTGCAATTAAGATACAAGAAAAGTCCTACTGTGAAATTACTGTTAAAGTAATGCAATTATTAACCTGTAATTTACTGTAATTGCATTCTAAACTGTTTAACAGTGCAGAAAAACATATTTTCATCATTGTGGTATAACATTCCATCAATTTAACTTTTTATGAAATATACTAAATATGATGTATTTACAGTATTTGCAGCTACAGTCAGGCTTCTTGAACAAGAAAAGATGTAGAGAGGGACTTTCCCACTTTCTTTGGGAATTGATTGGATGGTTGGATCATTGCGATTGCAGTTGATGGCATCTCATGTGAGTGGAGTGTTGTCTCGCCCTCGTGCCCGTCAACACTGCAGTGTAAGTTTGTGACCATAACATTCATTTGCCCATACTTCTTCGAGTTGTTACAGCTCAGGCTTTGAGCTGATGTGATGTGACAAATATATTATGTAGAGCTTTATTTTTTTCGTAGCTTTTTGTATTTTTTTAAGGCAAACGAAGTGCATAAATTCCACAGTGTGGAATTTGATGAGCTGCCTGATGTGTTTTTGTCTCCTCTTCAATTTCCGAGAGATGACATGACCTCTGTTGAACCTGTCGGTCTAATAAACGGCTCTGTCTGGCGTGTATAGGACCCAGCGAAAAAGGGAAGCTCCCGGTGAAAACTGGAGAGAGAGAGAGAGAGAGAGAGAGAGAGAGAGAGAGAGAGAGAGAGAGAGAGAGAGAGAGAGAGAGAGAGAGAGAGAGAGAGAGAGAGAGAGAGAGAGAGAGAGAAGAGAGAGAGAGAGAGAGAGAGAGAGAGAGAGAGAGAGAGAGGAGAGAGAGAGAGAGAGAGAGAGAGAGAGAGAGAGAGAGAGAGAGAGAGAGAGAGAGAGACTCCTCCTCGTCTCCAGTGTCAAACTTGACATCAGCCTCTGAGCCGAGAATGGTAACTTGTGTCGGAACAGAAGCCCTCACATGAGTGGCATGCTTCACGGAGTTATGTACCTTGTTTTACCCCCTGAACTGCTATCATGGATTTCAAATCATTAATACTTTTCCTTTTTCTCTTCACGTTTATTTCCAGAGCAGAATTCATTATTCATCCGTCCAATGAAGGTAAGATAACGTCTGGAGTGAGGGACATATACCTTCATCTTGCTCAACTGTAGCGTGACTGTCCTAACAATATTGTCAGTTGATTTGAGCTCGTTCATTCAGGGTTGTTAAATCTGCGTAGCGTTAACAGAGGAAATGAAATTCAAGTGAAATAGTTAGGTACCTGCCTTTTACCTCCGATGCTCATCCAATAGGCTAAGCCGCGGCGAATTTGATCATATTGGCTAATCGCTCGCTTATTCAATTTATGTCAAACCCGCTGCTTCAAATGAACAACCGATTTGTTCTGGGAATCAATAATATCACAGTTGTGCGCGAGACGCATTGACTTGATTTCGCGAGAAATCGCTAGAAAGGGATCGCTGCGAATCAAACTTTGAGTGCTGTTTATTATTGTTTGTAAGGGTCACAGCTGGATACACGATATGAACATATTTTGAAACGATCGATCGGTTGAGAAAGCAAGAACGCGCACCGGCTGAGCGCGAAATTCAGTCCGAAAATCTGCCGACCATACAGCATAATCTTCATATGGGCTGTTGCCTGTGTTTAAAGACTCTTTGTGCAGTTTGTGTATTTGCACTGTCTTGATAATTAAGAAATTGCTTTAAATATTTTGTATTTTTGCTGTATAGGCTAAATGATAGCTGTAGCCTGCCATGCGCTGCAAGTTTGTGCGCCGAGTTTATTACACTTGCGCTTTTGTTGTCCTATACCTAAAAGCCAAATTAAATGCTTCAACTTGCTGAATAGCTAATACTGAATTCCAAAATGCACTATTTGGACAAGCAGAGATTTACGTCGTAAACAGGTAGGCCTAGGCTATTTGTCACATAGGCCTATTTAGATGTTTTGCGTTTTATTTATTTATTTTATTTATTGACATAAAGCACACGTTGATGTTGGCTACTTAAAGCATATTTTGAAATAAAGCTGCTTACAGTGGAGGGTGGTTTTATGAATAGCTCAAATATATACATCTGAGTTTATTACCGACATTATTTAAAACCTAATGGCAATTGTCTTAAGTTCACACGAGTTATTAACTAAAACCTATTGGCACATATGCTGCCAGATTTATTTTTATTTTTCAATCGCATATGGCATATTGGATAATCTGTATAACTACACTATAGGCGTACAATAATGAGATTTCAAATAAAGTGAACAATCAAAATAACGGTATAGGCTAAATTAGGCCTTCTGCAAAGTAGCCTATAATAACTTAGAATCTACAGCCTATTAATATTCGGAGCCAGCAAAGTTATAGGGACAGTAGCAGCACTCACATTTTTAACAAAACACTTAGGAATATACTATTTCTAAGACAACGTGTTTGTATTTTGACATCTAAACGTCCTTTATGAAACACTTGAATAAGCGGCGCAGTCGAGATATAGAAATATGCCCAAACAAAGATGTTGTATGCTATTTTATAAGGCCTATATTTGATTGAAAAACATGTGCATTCTGTTTGCATGTAGGCTATCCCCTCATATCCATAACTGTTTAGTTCACACAGTGTTTAAAATTGTGTCCCGCTCAAGTTTTTGTAGTCGTTCGGGAGGGGAAAAATTACGTGTATTGCCCTAATTGCAAAAGTTTCCGTGTTGTCGCATATTCATTATAGGCCTATATATATATATATATATATATATATATATATATATATACACACACACACATAGGCTAGATGGTAATCTCCAAAGCTTCATTTGTTCTTTTGGCCTAATTAGAAAACGAGAGACAGATTTTCGCTAATCGTATTCAATTTTGACGCGATATGACGCATGATATGGATTGATTCGTTTGGTGAAATAGCCTATGGCTTTTCATGTTTAAGATTAAATATTCAGGCCCATTTGGTATTATTGAGTTTAGAATTCATATGTGTGTATGGGAGTTTAGAATCTGATCTGTGTAGAAAAGATGAGAAAATAAATGCTGTCAACTCAAGGTGATCTTCCTGATGTTGGAAGCTTAGCTGTCTGTTCTGTGTAAGAGAGGGGCTTTTCTCTCTTATTGTGATTTATGGGCTGTGAATTACCTTTTGCTCAAATAGTATGTAATGGGACGTGTTTTTCACCAGAGAGTGTCAGTATAGAGCCGCGGCTATTGATATCATTTGGAGCAAAGTGCTTTTTTACCTCTTGAAGTCGCTTAATCAGCTCAAGTGTAATGTTTATAATCTCTTAATATGAATTTAATGATCAATAAAAGGTCTATTTTTTATTATTAACATATATGCCTATATAAATATTAAATTAAAAGTGTTAAACGTCAAGGCCATGATGGCCTATAGGGCAATCGCCGTTAACATCCCGAGATGAATATTCATTAACGAGCATTCAGGTTAAAAAAAAAAAAAAAAAAAAAAAAAAATAGACTCATAAATCCTTTCAGAGGTTATATGTGATTCAAAAGTTATATCGATGCGAAGAGAGACTAAAGTAATATATTTCCATTTATTTTTCCCAGGAAATAGCCCAAACTAAAGTTTGCAACGTGTTCATCTTTATTTATTTTTTTATTCAGGTTAAATGGGACACTTTTTCCAATCTTTGTTTAATTTTAATAATATTTAATCACAGGCTAACTCTCCTTGGTTAACAAATCCCATAGCCTAACTGTTGACCTGACACTTATTGAGTGTTCTTCTTCTTGAGCTTATGGGCCGATTTACTACATGACCGTGCACTTTCACCCTAAACACCAGCTCGTAAAATAAATAATAATAATGGGCTAATAGAAACTTTAAAGGTAGCCTAAGTTTTTATTACATTAAATTAATTTTAATAACCAAAACATTATAAAATGTACCGCATCGCGACCTCATTTGTGTCGGGTCCAGTGTGTAATTAGCATATTTGTCGTTAGAGATGGAAGATAAAATAATTTATTTATTTTTTTCTTTTTACCTACTGAGCAGAATAAAACATTAACATAATTTTTAAACAGCCATAGCTGATGGTTTTTATTGACGATTGGAAAGTAGTGGGGCAATTTAACAGACAACTACAGTAGGCTACTTAAAAAAAACACAAGAACTATAAAACAACACCTGCGTATAATGATAATAATAACAATAACAATAATAATAATAATAGTATTAAAAAGTTGACTGACCAATTGACCTCTGTAATTTTTTTAATGTGCGATATTTTCTGGTATAGGTCTTTCTATTGATTATCACAATGATAGTCTAAAACTATTCTATTATTTATTTATTTATTTTTAATTTTGTCTTCTTCTATTGGCTGTTTGAAAACAACAAGTATCCATGAGGCCTACTTACACTGTCCTGTCTATAGATGCAGATATCATGCAATCTCACATTTAGTTTAATTTAATATTGCTCAGGACACAGTGTTTCTATTAAAAAATAAAATCAATTTATTTTATTTATTTGTTTATTGTCTCATTTTTCAAATTCTAAGCGTAAATTAAATATTTAAGCGTAAATTAAATTTTTGAAAATATCCACATTTGACTTTATTATTATTTAAGTTTTATTTAACAAATATTGGCAATTGTATTCATTAATAACATTGAGTTTAATGCCAGCTTAAATATATATATACATATATATAACACATGAGAGAGAGAGAGAAAAAAAAAAACATGGAATTTATTTTTTGAAGGGGATCTGGGCAAACTGCCTAGTGAAACATACATCTGTGTAAAGAAGCAAATTAATTTTTCTGCCATTTAGCTTGACCTTTGTAAGTCAAGCTTGTGGTGGGTAAACTTACAGTCTACTGTAATGCATATCGCCTATTCTACCGTCAGTACACTTACGGCAGACAGTTTTCCGAGCATGCGGGATTACAGCTAACAGTTGACCACATCCTTATAGGATGATTTCAACGAAAATAACAAAGGTCTCATTGAAATATCTCAGGAAATCTTCACAAAGCCGATCAGCTCCAAATTAAAGCATCTGCCAAAAACCTAAATACAGATGTAAACGAATCATACAACACAATTCCGTTACTAGGGTTTCCATTTTCTAACTTGTGGCTAAAATGGCGCAGTGCTCTCCGCTCGCTCAGACTACGTGATGGCAGCACCACGACATGGTGTGGTGTGATGTCATGGTGCACTAGTTTCCAGCCGGGACGTCTAATGTTTTGTGAGTGACGTTACTTTTCGGATGTGTGGAAATTTGCTTACACATATGAACGCATCAATACCCATACAGTTTCATTCAATATTACAGTAATGTGCATGGTCATGCTGATGTGTTTTGGACGAAGCTGGTGTGCAAAATAAGCTGTGGTGATTCAGAGGGGCTGAGGCAGACACCCTGAGACTCGACTGAATTATTCATAGTGTAGAGGTTAATACTTCATTGCCATCTTGCAACCATGGGCGGAACCTTCGATCAAGCCCAAGCCCTGTAATTTGCTATTGTTTTCCGTTTTGTTTATTTTTGATAGTTAAGTTAGGGAAATGAAGTGCCAGATGTTGTGATAACATCCCTTACGAGCATTGACCTCTCGGAGAGTTATTTGCGATGCACTTGTGGGGTTCGCCGTGACCCTTGGGGTGTCTGTGGAGGTACACCAGCTGCACGAGAGGATCTAGTGTGGGTGAGAAAAGGGATCATTGGAGCAGCAGTGGGTATTTTGGACACACATTGAAGCCTGTCGTGCTTACTCGAAAATCCTTTGAAAATAATCCCCAAGTCCGACCATGTGTCTTATACACCCACAGTCAGATTTTAATAAAGCCAGGCATCGAGTCCTCTGCTCTCCGAGGTGTTCAGACACCAGACTCTCATCTTAATTCAATAACAGATTTAATGAACTACCTGAGAGGTGAAGAGGACGCAGAGAAGAGAAGGCAGTGTGCCATTCACGGGCCATATGTTCTTGTGCAAACCTCATTCAGATCGTAATCGACAGCATGTTCACTGATATGTTTTAGGTTAGTGGCAATATTCGGAGATCTCTCCATCCCTTTCGCTTAAACACAAAAAAATCTTATGTGCCGATATATAGCAATTGTAAAAGGGCAGTTTGAACCACACAAAAATATTCACAAACAAGATGTCAAAGAAATGACATCTAGTTTTTTTTTTGACTAATATATATGTATGTGTGTGTGAGTGTATAAATGTTAATTTTATTGTATTTTTAGTTTAGTTTCACTTGTTAATTTTAACGGTCCTGCCGTGTGACAAATTAAAAGTACAAATATTCAGTGTAGTTTTCAATACGGTGTCATAAAACCTGCTTAGTATTTAAACAATGTGAGACTTTTGCTTAAACAAAAAAAATGTTCATGATTTGCTATCAGACTTTTTTTCCTTCGTCAAACCAACTTAAATGATTAATGTGGTTCAGATAACAATATGTTGTGTGTACCAACCTCCTTCAACATAACTAAACATTTTAATTTCAATGACCTCAATATTTTAAGGCAACCAACTTACTTTTTTAAGTTAAACCAACACTATTTTTTTTAACAGTGTGGATTTTCACAACATGAAATTTCAACTTATCTATAGTATTTCATGTCAAAAATGTTTTTATCTATCTAATCAATAGATTGATGGGTAAAAGTAATAGGGCAGTTTTAATACTGATTCCTTGTCTTCTTTGTATATATATTTCACATTGAGCTGTTCTTGATAGTTTGTGAATGAAACATTACCAATGTCTCCATTGTCAGCACTGTTATATTCGATCAGTGTGCCATGTGCTGATGAAAGAAAAACAATAGCTAGTAGTGCAGGGATGATACATTAGAGAGACACCCCTTGGCGGCCTGTGGTTGGAATCCTAGATTATTGTCTGACTCCTGTATTGATTTACCTATTTTGTCTGGTGTGGTTGGTTGGATGAAATGGCCGTTGAATCAGCTGTTCATAATTAGCCCTTTGTTTTGTGCTTAGACGCGTTGCTTGACGCTACGGTTCTTGTGGAGGGGTTGGGAATGACGTTGGCTGTGATTTCCTTCTCTTACAGCTGCAGAATTTGCCTCATCCATGTAGCTATCTAATTTTATGGTCTCAAATTTCCCTGGTCGGCTCAATTTGAGATGCCGGCTCGGCTCATTGAGAAATTTAAATTGGAAGCAACGGAGCTGGATGCGAGCTGCCATTATCTGACATAAGCAGATAGCTTTATTACTCTTAATAGGGATCATCGACAGTATGAGAACAGCCAGCTGTTTGGCCAGCACTCAGGTGCGGTGCCGGTTTGTGCTGGAATTTGATAATGGGGTCTCCAACAGACTCTCCTCAGAGCCCCTGAAATATACCTGTCAGAATTATGGAAGCACCTGACTGATGTAATTTTTTTATTTTTTTTTTATATATTTTTTTTGTGATCCAAAAAAATGAATTAAAACATATTATTAAAGACTTGAAATTAGTTTTATCGATACACCGAAAAATAGAAATTGTCCCAGTGTAATTTATTTACAAAACTAAAAGGTTAAATTAAATTGATGGAATTTAATTTAATTTAATTGTATTTAATTTAATTTTATTTATTTTGTTTTTTTTTTCAAAAATGGATTACTTAAAAACGTTATTACTCTACGACCTGTATGACATCGTCAACCAATGTGGTTAAATGACAAATTTGAAAGTCATGACTATAGTTGATTTCTTCAACAATGCATAGTAGTTAAGCAACGAGTTACGTCATTGTACGGAAAAACGCACCAGAAAATAAAGGTAAACAATGGAAATTCTCCAGCATAAATGTGAACTACAACACTTTTTAAAGGCATCTCATTCTCCACCATAAAGGTCATTGAGTAAATGTCCAGAGTGTTCAGAGCTGAAATCTAACCCCAAAAAATAAAGAGATTTAAAAAAAAATTATACATACATTTTTTGGCCACTACCAAATTTCCAGAAGTAAATGTATTGTTTTAGTTTTTATTATTTTTAAATTTATTTCAGAATAGTAAAGTCATCAATTGTGAGATAAAAAAAAGATTTAAAAAAAAATAAAAATTTACATATAGACTTTGTAAGGTGTACTGTCTCTGACTCTGACTCAAGCTTTGTGATAATAATATTGTGGTAAATAAAGGTTTATGTCATCCATGTCATATGTCCATTTGTGATTTGGCTGGATGTCTCCTTGCCATCGCTGTAGGGAGAATGAGTGACACAGCTATTAGTCGAGGCCGTAGACGCCATGCTGAGTGCCCACATGTCATCTGGGATCATGCGTTTACTGTACTCCGACGGAGGCTTTTGTTCTTTTCCTTTGTGCCCGTAGAAGCCTTGCTCAATCAAACAGGAGTCGTTGTTACGAGAGCAGGAGACACTGAGATATCCAGAGCTTGTCACGACCTTCTCTGCTGCAGCACACCATGCCGGCAGCCATACGTTTTAAATAATGCAGAAATATTTCCTCTCTGTCGTCTCCCATTGTTTTATTTTTCCTTCTCTTTTGTGTTTTTTTTTTTTTTTTAGTGCTGGGCAACGATTAATTTTTTTTGTCAATATGCAATGTATATTTAAGAAATATTTGCATGTATATACTGCATATATATATATATATATATATATATATATATATATATATATATATATATATATATTTTATATTATATATATAAAAAAAATCTCAAATATACACATGCGTGTGTGTATATTTATATATTCAAAATAATTATGGACATTACACACATATAATAGCCGTGTAAACGCAAATGTAAAGGCAAGCTTTTATTTTGGATGTGATTAATCGCGATTAGTCGTTGCCCTAAAAAAAAATATTTTATTGTTGTTTCTATAATTTTAAATTAATTGGATTTGACAAAGGTTTGATAATGTGTTTAATACAAAAATGAAAATGTCTACAAAAACAGAAATAAATATTACAGACTAAATATTGTCCTAATAAAACAATGACGTATGAATTTTTATTTTGCATGAATTAGAAAAAAAACAGTAATAAGTCAAATATGAATTGAAAATAAAGGATATGTCCTTTTATTTATTAAGTGATAGTAAAAAAAAGAAAATAAATCATGCTCACAGTGGTGAGCAACAACCTCTTATCAACATATCGGAATCCATTCGGCTTGTCAGATGAAAGAAAGCATTTTTGATTTATTTTCCTTAACGATGCCTATCACTGTGACACACACAAGATCAGCGTTTGGTCAGACATTAAAGACCCCGTGCAAGGGGGTAACAAGGCTAACTTTTCTCCGTCCAGTTAAAGCTAGTGCAGCGTACTGAAAAATGTTGTTTTGAAGGATGAGTCCACTGACTCCATTGTTTGTTTAATTGGATTGTGGCACAAGAGCGGCACAGCTGAGTAAATACTGTGTTGATCGGGACGCTGCACACTGAGAGCTGTATCCCGCTCCGAGTGGGGGTGAAACCGGATCTAAAAAGGGATAACTGCTCATTTGTTTCTCTCCCCTTCTCTACAGTTAACCTGTTGGACTCCAAAGCAAGTCAAGGGGAACTGGGCTGGATATCATCGCCATCCCATGGGGTGAGTGTTGCAGACATAATCCATATTTTTTAGTGGAAAAGAAGGGAACAGAGATTTCATGCTTTGAGGATGTTGTTGGGGAGCCAAAACAATGCACATAGTTTTTTTTTTTTTTGGAAACTATAAGGCTTACACTAATTAAGTAGATTTTAACAGATGAAATTAGAATTCAATTAATATAAATCATTCGGTAAAATTTTACAATAAGGTTAGTTAATGTATTAACTAACATGACAATGAGTGATATATTTGTTACTGTATTAGTTCATCTTTGTTAACTTAATACAAATACAGCTGTTCAATGTTAGTTCAGTGTTAACAACTGTTAACAAACACAACCTTTGATTTTAATAATTTATTAGTAAATGTTGAAATTAATATTAATAATTAATGCTGTAGAAGTTTTGTTCGCTCTTAGTTCATGTTAACTAAGGTAGTTAACTAATGAACCTTATTGTAAAGTGTTACCAATCATTCTAATATGCCGAGGTGCTGTTCAAAAATCATATTATTATCAATGTTGAGTTTTTGCCGATTAATATGTTTCAGAAATCATGATACACAACCATTCAAAAGTTTAGCTAAGTAGTTTAGATCAATTAAAAGTCAATTCATACTTTTATTCAGCAAGGATGCATTCAATTGATCAAAAATGACTGTAAAAATGTATGTTACACAACATTTCTATTTCAAATGAATGCTGAACTTTCCATTCATCAAAATATCTTGAAAAAGAAATCTATCATGATAATAAACCATTTTAAAAAATTGAGCACACATAATAATTATAATGTAACGCTAGCATATACGAACGATTTCAGTGTGACAAAATGTTGACCAGCAATACAGTACAGATAACATATATCATAAACATATAAGCCCAAAGGTATGTTTTTCCTGTCAGTGTAGACCAACGCTTGGTTCTTTATTTTTGTCGTCAAGACCTCAAGGTCACAACTTCCGATAATAACCCTGTTTATTTGTCGAGTTGTACAGGTATTGGTCTCAAGGGCTACTCAGACCAAATCATTCTTTCAACTTTATTATGTGTTAAAATGACTTGTTGGCAGTTGCTAAAGGTAATCCAGTAATTTGTTCCATATAGCTGCCAAACCTAGTTTCCCCTCGTTCTTTTTTACTGTTGGCACAGTAAAATGTGAAGCTTTCCTTTCTTAGATGCAAGGGAGAAGAAAAGCGTACAAGTAAAGAAAAAGAAAAACATGAAGCAAAAAACAAAAAAAAAAGCTCTTGCATTTTAAATGAAGTGCTTTTTAATGTAAGAGAGCATTTATGGAAAATTGAGTAATTGCACTAATTTGCTAGATTAATTTCTAAACGTTCATAAGTTCAACAGAGAAAGCGTCATTAATCTTTACAATAGCCATAAAGGTGATTTAGGATGAAAAAAAATATCCCTCGCAGATATGTGCCGAATGCTCTGGGATTTATTAAGTCGACGTGTAAGCCATTGTCACGAATGCAGCAAGGATCAGGTTCTCAAGGTGAATTAACTCTAATTACTCAGGACTTCTCCCTAGTTTGGAGCGATAAGCATTTTGCCCCTGAAAGCAATGCCCTCAAAAATGAGTTGAAATAACGTGGCGCTGCAGTGCTGACACTGACGGATGGGCCGCCCGCCTTCTGCCAGTGTAAGCACAAATCGGCCCGGTTAAAGCAAATTAAGAGCTAAGCCCATCGGACGCTCAGATAAGGCCAGTAAATATAAATGGGCCCTGCACAAAGCTCTTTAAACATGCAGCGCTGTTTAGTATGGCCTTTCCAAATTGCATCAGGCCTCAGCCTGGGATTCATTACCACCGGCAGTCGGATTACTCGGTCTGCCCGTATGAAGCTGCTGCGATCTGTTGCGTTGCTTTGAGGACCCTGCGCAATTGTTATTGGAGTTGTTAAAAGCATCTTTGCTGTGACGTCTGTGGAGACACCGATTAGAGCTTGACTGGTGGTTGTAGTTCTGGGGTTTGGAATGCCTTGTTTCTCCTCTGGAACAGAAAGAGAAGTGCAAAAGATTCTTGAACACCGCCTTGGCCTGGCATTGGCATTGTTTGAATGAATCGGCTCTCGCTAAGGGAGTATCGGGGGCTGTACTGGATAGTTGGCCTGGCCAGATATGTAAATACACTGTAAAAAAAAATATATATTTTCACGATTTGTAATCACAACATTTGTTTAATTTGTCAAATCAACTTAAATAATTTATGTACTTCAGATAACATAATATTTTGAGTTTCTGATGGTTAAATCAATCTCCTTCATTGTATTAACTCAATTTTTCCATTTCAATGAACTTAAAATTTTAAGGCAACCAGGTTACTTCATTTTTTAAGTTAAACCAACATTTTTTTTTTTTTTACAGAGAGCTGCAAAATAGATTGACTGAATGGTTTTCATTGGTTAGTGTAGCAGAACTAGTTTTTGAAATTCTTATGTACTATTGTCTTTTTATTACTAACTAATTGCAGTCGTAATACATGATTATACAGCAAATAATGCAGACATATTTCCTCTCAGTCATCTCCCATTGTTTTATTTTTCCTTCTCTTTTGTGTTTTATTAGTGCTGGGCAATACATGACACAGATTTGAATATGATAATCTTGTATAAAAAAATGCGAGAACTAAAAAAGTATGTTATGTTGAAAATGTGCCATCAACAAAATGAAGTGCATTAAATATTAAACCAGGGTTGTAAAGAAACTGCTTTTTTAAGTTAAATAATACAAACAAACTTTTTTTAAGTTGTTGAAAAAGATAAGAAATGTAACCATAAAAATTAAAAAAAATAAATAAATAAAAACATAACACAAAGTATTTTTTATTTGTTATGCTGTGTGGCCTCTGACTTGTGTAATTCCACAAAACTTTCAGAATTATTATGATAATGTGTATTTCAAAATTTACTATGATCTAATTACAAGTATATCATTTTTTAGATCTGATTATATAATCCAGATTACATATTATCAGTTACTATCCAGCAATGTATATATGATTTGATTGATTTGTCCAAATGAATATATTATGCTACACACACACACACACACACACTATAATAGAATGAATTAAATGTTATTTTTCTATTTTATTTAGAATTTGATGCAAAGAAAACATTATTTAGACAATTATTAATTTCTTTGTTTGAACCATATTTTGCATCTGAGCAAAAAAAATATAAGTAAATAAATAAATATAAACTACACATTGTGCACGTTAACAACCCTTCATAACATTCTTCCTCGTCTTATTTTGGTCTCTAAAAATCTGCAGTAGAAGCTCCAGATCTCAAGCATCGTAGCATAATCAACTGAGACAAATTCAGTGCAGCAAACCCACACTTTTCATTATGCATTGGGTAAGTCACACTCTGCCAGTGCCCGCAGCGAAAGACAATATTTCCAACATGATGCTGAAACTCATTTAGTTCCCCCGCCCTGAACAGAAAGTGTGAAAGGTCTCCAGCTGTACAAAGTGCAAAGAAAACCCCCTCTATAAAGGTGGATTAGCACGTCATATGGCCACAGCGGGCGAGCAGGCAGCACACAATGTGTTATGGTAAAAGCTGTGATGAAAAGGTATTGACTGATCACGTACAGTTGTTGCTGTGCAGGAAATCCTAGATGGTGAAGCACTTGTCATTTCTAGTGTTTCCTGCTATATTGTGGGAATAGGAAGGTCACGGATAAACAAAAGTCTTTTTTCGTTTATTCGTGTCTTAAATTTAGTTAGGTGTTTGCAATATAATGTGTATGTAAGTTTATGGTTCTTGAACAGCGTTGGGTAAACTGCTTTGAAACTGTAGATTCTTAAGATACCTACACATAAATTAAGGTCATTTAGTAAGCTAGTAGTTAGCTACACAACAAGCAATCTTCGAAAGTAGCTAATTACACTAAAGATAGTTTACAGTACATTCAGTGTTCTTTCTTTCTTTCTTTCTTTCTTTCTTTCTCTTTCTAGATGTGTCTATAATATTGTCTATAATATGTTTAATTATACTGAATGTAATGTACTTCAAATCACTGTATTTGCATGTATAATATTACTAAAATCCCACTTTAGATACTTAAAGAGAGGACACATTCACGACTTTAATGACACTCATGTTTCTTAACACACTTAAGTAGACATTTATACAAGTGTGCTCAGTAATAATGTTAAATTAAAGATTGTACACTTTAAATCATTGTTTTAATCTTTTCTTGCATGTGCTTTAAAGAAGTGACTAACACTTAGCACATGAAAGTACTTATAATTTTAACAGTACTTTGTTATTCAATATTTCATTTAAAGTCGGAATGTATTTTATAGGTTAATATATTATACATAGAAATGGCATAACAGTATTTTTTTTATTTACCATTCATCCTTGTCATTAAATATGGCAGTGTACTTTAACCATATTTTAAAGACAATAGAAGTATGAAAGTCCTACCTAAGTGGGTCAAAAAAGCACTCAAAGTCTAACCAATAGTTTTTAATATGAATTTAAACAATAATATAATTTAATATAATTGCATGCAAATAAGTGTTCAGAACTTTTCCATTCAGTTTTCACTTGTATATTCTTTTAAATTATATTATTAAAGTATGAAGTAGTTGCTGAAGTGTACTTCTTTTTCACTATATAGGAACTAGAGCAGTATTTGCCAGATAACAGTTTACGGTAGCATTTTATTTTACAGTCAGGTGCCACATACATACTATGTGCTTATTATAGTGATTACAATAACTGGATAATAACAAGATTCTAATACTAAACCTATACCCCTAAACCTAACCTTAAACTATGTAGTTACCTGATATTTCCCAGTATTTTCTAAGGCAAGTACACTGTAAGTACCCATTTTGCTAAAAAGATGCAAAATGATTTTTATACACACAAAGTTTCAAACTATTTATGTGTATAGGGGAAAATATTGTGTATTTGATTATTAAATAATTTTTCAATACACTAACACAAAACAGTAATCTATTTTTTTTGTGATTTTTTTTTTTTATCGATACTTGTTGGGGAAAAATTAGCTTGTTACAAGAAAAACTACACTTTTGAATGTAGTTAGGTTACTGTTAAACTACTGAAAATTGTTCCCTAACACTACTATTAAAGAAAGAAAATAAATGGTTAAATTCATTTAAATGGTTTCCAATTCCAAAAAAAAAAGTGTGTTACAAATAAATAACAAAAGCTAGCATTAGCTTGCAGCCAAATCATGCCACTTACAATTTAATGTCACTCCAGCTTGAAATGATGTGTTTTCATAGTGGATATCACGCACTCACTGCACAAGTTGTGTCGATTAGTACAAAATGTGTGTTTTTACAGAAAGCAATTTCCTTCACTACATATCCTGTGTACCCATAAGCATATCCTCTATAGACCAACGCCACTTTTGCGTCATCGAAGGGTAACTCCCCCTTTTGGGGGAAAACACCTCTATACTGTCAATGGGAAAACAAACGGATTCCCATGAGAACAGAACTTGCACTAGATCTGCAAAGTTTCTTGATAGCAAAAATGGCACAAACTCAAAGAAGCTAACGTTACTGAATACGGGGTTACAGAGGTGTCCCTTTGAAATGGTCGAAAACTGGATTAATGACCCCACACAGCGGCCAAATATGGACTATTCAGACATCTAACGTTACCACTCTCTCGTGGAATCACCAAGTAAGTAGCCTTTTTTATTTATTTATCATTTACACACTTACAGTAGCCTATTACAAACTACTAGACGATGAGGCCATGTCACTTGGATCATATTTAACTTGATTTAAGCTATTGACAGTTTTGTTGTCGACTAGCTATTAGAAAGACTAGCTGTTAGCAGCTAACGTTACCTTATTAGACTATGTAGCTTAAATCAAGTTAAATATGATCCATTCATCGTCTAGTTTGTCATACTGTGAGTGTTAATGAAAAAAAAGGCTAGCTACGTGCTTACTTGGTGATTCCACGAGATAGTTGTAACGTTAGATGTCTGAATAGTCCATATTTGGCCGCTGTGTGGGGTCATTAATCCAGTTTTCGACCATTTCAAAGGGACACCTCTGTAACCCCGTATTCAGTAACGTTAGCTTCTTTAAGTTTGTGCCATTTTTGCTATCAAGAAACTTTGCAGATCTAGTGCAAGTTCTGTTCTCATGGGAATCCGTTTGTTTTCCCATAGACAGTATAGAGGTGTTTTCCCCCAAAAGGGGGCGTTACCCTTCGATGACGCAAAAGTGGCGTTGGTCTATTGCCTCAACGGCATCCCAGCACTCAGACTCATGGAGTCCTCAGAATCCGGTTTTGTCCATTATAGTGAAGAGAGCGGGATTTGATCTAGAGAAACTGTGCGCACCTATTCAGGAAATGTGCATGTGATAGCAGCAAAAGGCAGCAGTATATCTCAGTCTTCGCTAACTAATGCAATTCCATTGTAATATGAGCGAGGAGGATTATCATTTTATTAAATATCTGTCTGAAACATAAGCTCTGCTCCACTTTGTCCACAAGTGCCAGGGAATCTATTAGTTTAAAGTACCAGTTGGCCTGTGTACACACACTGAGTGTACACATGGGGAAGTTGGGCCGCAGCCCTGTCAAATGTACCAACTGCTGATTTCCTCGTTTCTCTGCTGCTTTCCTTGCTGGAGGGGGATTATATTGTAAAGTGATATTCGGAGAAACCCAAAGTCATCTTCAGTCTGCCCGTTGAGTGTTAAGTTGCAAAGCGCAGGGCTGACGTCTCCTGCTGTGGAGAAGGAAATAAAGATTGGTGTCCAATCGTAGCCTGGCGCTCTCCGAGAAATCAATGCAGCCTTTAGAAGCTGCTGTCCGTAAAAGAGATATCCAGGCAAGGCTTTTACAGTTTCCCCCTCTCTATAAGCGAGTGTTATGCATTATAAAGTACAGTTATTTGAAGGAGATTGGCTTGTGCTGGTAATGATGTCATTCATGGCAGCAGACAGTCCACACTATATTCTCAAGTGTGTGTGATTTACACATCGTATATGATGTTTCATTTATTTTGGCAGTCACGGTTTCAGTACAGTCATTCTTTATACAGTTTGATAATGCGACACAGCCGAGGCACCTGGACTTCATTTGGAGCATCAGCTATGCTGGTGAACACCGGTTGGCTCAGCAAATAACCCTGAGACAAATGACCAGCTGAAATTTCCATTGATTTATTTCAATTTGCATCATATTTGTTCAACTTCATAAACACAATATCAGAAGCAGATTCCATTGTTCTAGCATCATAACGCCTCATTTAGATCCTGCCTTAAAGCCAGGCCCGCAAATTTCGGAATCGGGATATTCATAAAGTAATACTCCATTCATTTTCGTCAGATCGGTCTTTCAGTAAAAAGTGTTTTCTGTGTGAATATATACTGTATATATTAAACTGTTGACTGTAAACGATGATTTGATGCTCAAGAAAGATTTCTCATTATTATCATTGTTGAAAACAGTTATTTACATTTTTATTTCAGGATTCTTTGATGAATAGAAAGTTCAAAAGAACATAATTTATCTAAATTAGAAAGCTTTTGTAACCTTAAACACTACTGTTCAAATATGCTTTAAGACAAACCTTGTGTATATACATATAGAGGGAATGCATTGACGTCACTTTCCCGCCGGAACGACCCTCCTCAGCCTGACTGAGTGGCAAAAGATCTGCTGCGTGACTGGATTTAATAGGGGAAACTGCGAAAATGCGACTAAAACGAACAATTTTATCAATTTAAACTAAATGTTGGACTCAATATAGTGTTCCTTACAACTTACTAAAGATCCAGTGATCCATGGATATTGACATGCAGCCAGGAATCGAGTTGCCTGATATTTATGTTGGCCTGATTTCGACACCGGGGAAATAAAAGCAATATAGACCTAAACATAAAGCAAATTTGCCTGTGAACACTTTATATATACAATATAGGTAGGTCTAAATCCGGCTGATCACTTATCTGTGCTATATATAGCCTTTACATATCATCATATCGTCCAGCCCTAAAACTTTATAATTTTTTTTTTTGGTCGGTCAGTGTTTATTAAAAAAACATCTAATAATGCCAAATATACAATGATAAATATTTAATTGATGAGTTGTTAATATACATAACAAAACAAAATATATGGGTATGGTTTTACACTAAATTCAGCATATTGACACATGATGATAATGACAAATCCACCTTTCGCTGACTGGAGTCCAGTTATTTAAGTGATTTGCTGCGATCCATTTGCTCCTCTTTCTATAGCAGTCTGCAAAAATATACCTCCGATTTTTTGTCAAATCTAGTCGTACGGTCAATCGCAAAGCTCTTTCCCACTTTATTTATGTTTGTTTTTCGCGGCATTCACGCTGAAAACAAAAACAGCCGCTCAGTCTTTTTGCCACTCACTGCGAGTAACTGCAGGCACTCTGGCCGACGGTGACGTCACGCGCATACCCTCTATAGGTGCATTTCAGAAATTTGTTTTCCACATAGCATTAAAGGAGAACTCCGGCGAACAATGAACCTGTGGTCTAATAAAACATCGTTACCTTACCTAGTCAATCGTTCTCTGAGTTTTGTTTTCATGATAATCGAATGTAAAGAGTTTTATCTCTAAAAACTGTTTAGCGTATAATGCTAGTAATGGGGGCATTGACTAAGTAAAAAGAAATCGCTAGTTTATACCACTAACAAGGCTCAAAATAGCCCCACACTAACGCAGTAACATAATGAGGCTCCATACACGCAAAACGAAGCATTGAGAACTTTGTAAGTGTTCAGACCGTTTAATAAGAAGATACTTTATGAAGACAGTTCACTTCACATATACAGACAGGAGCCATCTTAAAAAATAGTCTCGATAAGTTGATCCCCGAACGCCGTTTATACAGTTCAAAAGTTCGCTGAACTTCATAGAGTTCAGATCACTCACCACAACGTTCGTGGTTTGACTTATCGAGACTTTTTAAGATGGCTACTGTCTTCATAAAGTATCTTCTTATTAAACGGTCTAAAGTTCTCCTTTAATTCTGAAATATGCCACAATTTGCTTTAAAATATGTGGTTGGAATTCCAGCTGTCAATGAGTTCAGTCAGTTTACTTTTCTTCCAAAATAAAGGCTGTGTATCTAACAATGTGACCCAAAACAGTACATAAAAATCTTGAGGTCTGAAAAAACTCAACTTTTTTGGGTGTTTCATTAAGCACCCTCACAGTTGAAACACAAATAGGCAATTCTTCAGGCTCAGGGCACACTTGTTTGGCCTGGTAATGAACAGCTCGCAGCCACTCCAGAGGCCTTGTCTCACTCAGCCAAGGGCTTTTATAAACTTCAGCTTGACAGAGAGCCATATACTACCCCATTATTGTAATAGAAAACACTGCCTCTCAGTTCATCATTTATTCTGCTTTGTGTACGTTAAACCCCAAGACTTCTGGCCGCATTGTGACTCCGGACACCCCAAGTGACAAAACAAAATGATTTGTCAAGGTCGCCTTACAAGGGAGAGTGCTCAGAGTGGAAGGCCTCGTTAATTACGCCCCACATTAATTATACGAGCAGGGGAGATATCAACTTGAAACGATTCATTATTCCAAATGTGTTTGAGCAATAAATAAGCCCGCTGTTCAGGTGTTTTACATTTGTCTCGCTTCCGCTGAAATGTAGGAGTACAGTAGCCGTTCGCTTTCCTCGGAACAGATTTGATTAACTTCTTTCTCGTTTTTGCAGTGGGAGGAAATTAGCGGTGTGGATGAGCACTACACACCCATCCGGACCTTCCAGGTGTGCAACGTGATGGAGTACAGCCAGAACAACTGGTTGAGGACCAACTGGATTCCTCGTAATTCCGCGCAGAAGATCTATGTGGAGCTGAAGTTTACCCTGAGAGACTGCAACAGCATTCCCATGGTCCTGACCTGCAAAGAGACGTTCAACTTACACTACCTGGAGACGGACGAAGACCAGGGAAGTAAGTTCCGTGAGCACCAGTTCTCCAAAATAGACACCATCGCCGCCGACGAGAGCTTCACTCAGATGGACCTAGGCGACCGCATCCTGAAGTTGAACACCGAGGTGCGTGAGGTGGGACCCATGACTAAGAAGGGCTTTTACCTGGCTTTCCAGGACGTGGGAGCATGCGTGGCCCTGGTTTCGGTGCGGGTGTACTTTAAAAAATGCCCCTTTACAGTGAGGAACCTGGCCATGTTTCCTGACACGGTGCCCACGGACTCTCAGTCGCTGGTGGAGGTTAGGGGCTCCTGCGTCAACAATTCCAGGGAGGAGGACCCACCAAAAATGTACTGCAGCACTGATGGAGAGTGGCTGGTGCCTATTGGGAAATGCCTGTGCAACATAGGTTACGAGGAGCGGGGAGTCACATGCCAAGGTAGAGTTTTTCTCTCACATGCACACTTTTCCCTTTTTCATTTCACGGCCCATTTTCTTCCTTTCATCAGCGTAATGTACTAGCACCAGCTCTGTAGACAGCAGCTCTAAATAGGACAACTGAGTGTGTCCCTGGAAGACCATTCATTTGTTTATGCTGCTCATCGTCTGTAATGGCGAAGCATTTGGAAATGTTTCTAAACTCCATGGTGAGTTGAGTATCTGTCCCGCACTCTGAGTGCAAATGGATTTTTCCCAGATATGGACACACCTCTGATCTGTCAGACATGCTCTGGAGAGAGGAATATGAGAGTTCTGTGTAACCGAGGACAGAGAAGATCTGTGGTGCAGACCCCCTTAAAAGGCAGCTTGAAGCAGTTAAGCTTGTGAAATACTTCTCTGCATCACCTCATCAGACACACAAATAGATGGACGTTAGTCATTGAAGATGGATAAGTGTGTGTGTGTGTTTGATGTAAAGCATGTGAGACTTCCACTGTGAAATTTCTATACTCTAAAGACACCAATTCTCGTCATATTTAAACATTGTAAACTAATGAAAAGAGAATATATTGGCAATCTGTCTTTGTCTCGCATTAGATTCAGAGGATCAGAATGAGTTGTAGTGCTAGAGTTTGGGTTTAGATGTAAATGCCGTTTGTGCAAAAATGGGTACAACAACTTGTCACTGGGGCAGTATCCACTTAAACGGTTATCCTTAAACGGTTCAAAGTAGTACCTTAAAGAGTCACATATTACTATTGTAAGTGACTAATACGCACCTTTAGGGGTAGATGAGGTACAGCGTTGTCCTCTTGAAGGGTACTGCCCCTGTGACAAGCTGTTGTACTCCTAATGGTTCAGATTGTGGACACTTTGTTTTATATCAAGTTAACTTTAAAAGAAGTTCAATTTAAAAAATAAGACCCCTACGTTTGATCTATTTGAATCCAAGAATATGTCCTGAATGGTGCAGTTTGCCTTTTCTGAACCACTATGGCTGGTCCTTTTACACTATTTGCATCATTAACATTGTTAATGCCCCTGTGAATTTACCACCTAAATTTAATACGTGCACAAAACCACATTTGCGTTTGTCTGAACCAGATGCATTGAAAGAATGCAGAGCTGCTCTCAAACATTTTTTTTTTTTTTTCAGAGAGAAGTAATCATGAGAAATAACCAGGAACATGCTCTGGAATGGGAATGCGATCATAGCGATTCATTTCCATAAATTATGCTGTTATATTGCGCATTATACCAATTATGAACTCTACTATACTTTTTTTCATAGACCACCTTTTCAACTGGACACCCAAGTTTGACAATCTTTTTTCATGCCTAAAAGCTTTTAGTTTGAAAGTGCCCTAAGAACATTTTGTCTGGTGTGTATACACATGTGAGTTTTGCTGTGGTTCAGGGAGCTGATAATAGATTGGCTGGCAGCTGGTTTGAGCACTGCAGTCCTGCCTATGGTTTTATTTGAGTTACGCCATCTCCCAGGAGAAATCACTTTTGCTCTTCCTAAAATGCTCTACATCTGTCCTCTGTAGTCCAGAACTACTCAGAGATGTTTGAGATGTTCTCTGTCCAAATGTACTCTTGATGTGAGTGTATCCCTGATTGTCAGCTTGTGTCTGTGTTTGTGTGTATTTATGTGTCTGTTATGGAATACTATATGTGGAACAGCTGCAAAATGGGTCATGGGGGTCTTTACATCAAGATGCATCTGTGGCATGCCATAGGCGAAGTGATGAGGAAAACAAGACCACACCACAGTTTTCCCTGCTCTAAAAACGACAATGCTGTTGTTACTGAGATTGTATTAAGCATAGCAATGATAGGCTAAATTTGACCTCTTGTTCTAGTATTGTTATTGGCCCGTGTAGTCGGAGGAAAGCGGTTAAATCATTAAGGATCTGTGACCTCTGACCTAGTGCTTTAAGTTTAGGGATGACATCCTTCCCTGACATTTCATCACTGATTATCATCACACTCTGCTTGTAATAATTGCACTTTAAATGTGTTAAATGGCTAATTAAACTGCAGATAAATGAACATAATTCAAATGTGGTTATTTTGATTGACAGTCAGATAAAATGTCAAATATATACATATATATTTATTGTATTTATCAACTGATGACTAGATTTGAGAATCGAACTTTTTCAAAAGTTCCTCATTAATATGCGTAAGCAGACAATATTTCTTTCCTAATCCCTTACTCATCAAAATGATTTATATGAAACACATGTGATTTTGGCATTTCTCGTTTTACCCCATGAGTGGAATGAAACGTGGGATCAGCCAAAACACGATGAAACTGAATACAAATGCTGATGTCTGAGGCCTGACCATACATTTCAAATAGTTGTGCATGGTCATGCATTTTTGCTGGCTAGTTTTCTTGCCTGTGGTTTGGCAGGAGAAATGCAGGACTGATGCCTCATGAAGGTGACTGCTCCATACAATTTATCAATCCAAACACCCATTTGTGGTGTGTAGAACCAGACGCCTGTCAAGTGATTCAGTGTGTCTCTAGGATGTAAACGATAATGACAGGGCAATGGTAGGGCTTTGATAAGCACATAAGTGAATGAGTGGATGAATAAACAAGTGATGTAATGAAAGAGTAAATGAGATGAATGAGTGAATGATTTTAATGAGTGATTGAAAGAATGAGTGAGCCATGATTGTTTTTATTAACTAAATCTAAAAACTATTAAAAGTAATTTTGTAATTTTGAATATACTGTTACCTTGGCGTCTAACTAAAATAAGCTTAAGCAGAAGCACTACAAATTACTTACTGGAAATAAATCATATCCTGATTTATAATAATGATATGAATAATGATATTCTGATTAATATTATACATAATACTAATCAAAATTACAGAAGCACACAACAAAATACTTAACTAATATACTTAACTGATGACTGATAATTTCATTAAAACGGAAATATAAAAATAAAAAAAGAACGCAAAATATTAATGAAAACTATATAAGGAAATAAATAATATAATATATGATTGGTTGGTTGGTTGGTTTATTGATCGATGGATTGATTAATTGAATCGGTGAGCGACTGAATGATTGAGTGAATAAATAGGTGACGAGTGAATGTGTGAGTGAGTGAGTGATAGATCAAATGAATGTGATGTCATAGAATAAATCTCAGCATCATTTTGTGTACTTAACAAGTAGATTTTTATTTTCTTTTTATCTCGTCAATAAATCTCTACTCTTCCTCCTCCTGATCACCCTTTAATGGAAGTCATCATGTCGACAAGCTTTGCATTAAGTGCATGATTCACCATGCCCTTCTGTTTTCTGAAGAGTTGTGTGAATGTTTGGATGTATTTGACAATCTCTTATTAGTTTCAGTGCAGCCTAATGGACACTAATAAGGGCTTATATTACCAGAGTGTGACAGCTGCTGCGTCGTACACTCATGTGCGAGGAAGGGTCTAAGTCACAAATCTCTTGGCAGGCCCGCTGTGCTAACGGATTGATTACGGCAGAGAGCCCGAGTGTGACTCTGACAGAGATATTTTGAGGTGTGCAGACTTCCATTTCAACACTTCAAGTGTGGATGAGTCATATAGCGGGTTTTAATGCTTTGTTGAGGGAGTCCCTCTTAAATAATTAATAGCTTTTTGTCTTTGTGGAGTACAAACACTGCATCCGGTTTCCTGGGGAATGACCTTTGAAATGTTTGGACTGAGAAGTTTTACTTGAGATGCAAAAGAGTTAACATTTTGAGTGTTGGATTCAGTATCTGAACTGGATAGCTCATAGCACACAATTTATCTTAGAAAATAAAAAGGATTCAGAAGAAGATTGGGATTATTTTAAATAAATAAAGACAAACAATACAACTAGAATCGCAATCTGATTATCACAAAGTGTGATTAGCTTAGTGTCATTATCAAATCTGGGATTTAATTAAATAACATGTGCTGTGTTTCAGAGTGAAGCATGGCACTCTGTTCATTTAGTACAGCCGTTTCGCAATTAGATTTTAAAATAAAACTTTATGAGCACAATAATAATAAATAAATTCATTCATTCATTCAGCTCAAACTGTTTTCTCATTTTTTCATTTATTCAAATATATTAGTAAAACTATTTGTGAGTAAACATTGCTGTTTATTCCTATGTATTGTTATTTTGGTTCATATGAATAAAAATTATTACAATTTAAAAATTGTTCATTTATTAGAAAAAATGGTTAGATTATGTTTAGATTATTTTTTCTATGGTTCCTTTGAAGTAGTTGGCTAATGAGATTTAGGAATTGGATTGTGAAGGCTTAAAAAAATTATGAAGTTTTTAGTACTATATTCTGCCTAGCTGTAAAAGGAAGTGAGAACCTTAATATGCCTGTAATATTTTTTAAAGGGATTTGTTTTCTGAATTCAAATGAACCGTTTCTCTAAATCACACACAAATGCATGTGCAGATGTGGGTGAGAGCTTGTGTGAATGAGTGTGATTTTGTGCGTTAATATGTGTGAACTTGTGGAGAGAAGTGATATATTTCCAACAGATGAAATGAAGGTTACTTTAATTATCAGCATCGGTAGAGCCTTAGACCTTGGGGTGATTCTTAAGTGGATTTTCTCATGTTCATTATCGCCAACAGAATGACTCCACAGTAACGGTGTCAGCACTCAGAGTGTAGAAATATTGCACCACACAAAACCATGCGCTATTATTCACATATTCTTCGTCCACCTTTTGCCGTATGGCTGCTGCATTGCACTGTTTAGTTAAATTAGTCCAGGATTGGAAATTACAACTCATTATGATAATGAAATGGAGCGAGTCAGTGGTTTAAAATCTGTGTGAAATTCCTCTAACCATAATTTGATCTTAAAACAGCAAATAAATGGAGTATTTGAGCCGGATGTCTGTCTGTTTTGCGAAGCTTCCCATGTTCGCAGCTGCCACGGGGCTCCTTTGAGAGTGGCAATGGTTTACATTCCGGCTGGATTT